TGCAAGGTAAGGTATAGTTAAAAGTTCAGTATTAGATAAATAAGGACTTCAACTATTAGAAAAAAAATTAATTTTAGTCATAATCTAATAACTTTTTTTTAACATTTGAGGCGAGAGGTGTGGCGAAAGGACCTCCTTAATGGAAAAAACTGACTTGCCTATTTATTGACCTCAAATATGTGTGTTGTTGAGTTACTGACTTATTCTAGTATAAATAAACAGGACAAAATTTTTTTAATATTTTTATTTATTCATGAAAAAAGCAAAGTGAACTTAGTTCAAATAACATACATTTTGACTGGAATATAAAACTAAAAAACAACTGATCATTTGGATAAACCTCTTCCAAATCCGGAAATAGCTGTAGTTACCGGTTTTGGCACAAAAAATTGGAGAAATTCAACTATTCACGGCGTCCTCTGAAGTAAACTCATGGAGGAAACTATTGCGAATTTGAATCACCCATTTATTCACCAAACAGAATGGGAAAAGCCTTTTAGATATATGTAGATATCTTATTTTTACTAAAATTTGACTTATCAACTTATTCACGGATGGTACAGAATTTTTCCACCTACGAAATATAATAATATAAAAATTTGGTGAGGATACTGTCTTTCCGCCAATAAATGCGATCTCCACCAAAAAAGCGAATTACACCAAATTTCAATAGAACGAATCAGTTTAACTTTAAGGATGAAACAATATTTTAACCTTGTGTTAAAAAGCATTTTTTTTTTAAATAAATGTTTAATATACGAAGTTCAAATTTCATGTAAAGTAACAAGAAACTTTAAAAATGTTCCTAAAAGTTTTCAAATTAAGAATAACGCGAATATAATGTAAGCTTTTAAACACAATTCCCGGTAGGTTAAAATCGCCTTATTTAAAAACACCGCAGTTTTTAAGTTACTTTCTCTTAGTTCTTTCATGCATACAGAAAAAAAGGGCGTAGGGAAAACTTTCGTAGCTGCCTTCGGCACGTTTCAGATGAAAATATGAATTATATAATTATTTAATCGTCTTCAACCCTCTCGGGGTTCAAGGAATATTGATGAAGAATATGGATTTTATTCAACATAACACTTTCTTTCTATTTTCAAATCCCCTATCGTCATGAGTTTAGGGTACGGTTACATTATGGAAATGCACGTTGCAACTTTGCAATTCTGAAAATATGGCGGACTTATAGATGCAAAATAAATTTTCTCGACTTTGGTGTAAGAATGTCATATTCTCGGACGCAAAATCGTTGAAGAATAAAGAAAGCTCAGTCTTAAACGATTTTTGGTTACTTTTTTGTTACATTTCAGTTGACATTCACTAATAACTGCCAGTGGGAAGGGTTCGTAAATCTAAGGGGGTTGCGATATAGCCTTCCATCTTGGACGCTATTTTTATTTGAAATAGTAGTCCCAATCCTGCCAGTTTATAGAAAATATATAGGCGATTTTTTTAAATAATATTTTTATTGTGTTAGACATAAAAGATTTAAATTTAATCCATTATTTATAATTTCATGTATTGTAGATCGACTAGACATCGTATGTCGCAACCCTTTAGACATATCTAACCTTAATACCGCGTTTCATTTGTTTGGATTGTCTGCCATGGGAATGTTATCACATTCCAAAGAAGTATTAGAAATTAAAAATTTAACAAGTATTACAAATTAAAAATTTAAAAAAACCGACTTCAAAAACGTGCAGATGCCATTACCACATTTTAACCAAATTTATATGGGACCACCCCTGAGGTACCCCCTTACTAACAAAAAAATAATCGTATAAATCGGACAAGGTGGTAAAGCATTATCGCTTAACATACATAAAAAATGAAGACTGAGGATTTTCTCATGGATCCAATTATAAGATTTTGACCAAATTAGTAGACCCTTTCTAACAAAAAAAGAATTATTGAAATCGGACACCGTGTTAAAAAATTATCGCTGAACATACATAAAAAATGAAGAGTTTGAGGATTTTCTCATGGACCCAATTATTAGATTTTAACTAAATTTATATGGGACCACCCCTAAAGTACCCCCTTACTAACAAAAAAATAATCGTATAAATCGGACAAGGTGGTAAAGCATTATCGCTTAACATACATAAAAAATGAAGACTTTGAGGATTTTCTCATGGATCCAATTATTAGATTTTGACCAAATTAGTAGACCCTTTCTAACAAAAAAAGAATTATTGAAATCGGACATCGTGTTAAAAAATTATCGCTGAACATACATAAAAAATGAAGAGTTTGAGGATTTTCTCATGGACCCAATTATTAGATTTTAACTAAATTTATATGGGACCATCCCTGAAATACTCGCTTTCTAACAAAAAAAGAATCATTGAAATCGGACACCGTGTTAAAGAATAATCGCTGAACATACATAAAAAAAAAAAAATATCGCGACGAATTGATAACCTCCTCCTTTTTTGAAGTCTCCAAAAACAACTGTTTAACATCACTCATTTTAAAAGAATTATTTTTCTTGAAACTTCTCCCTTTATCTGTGCCCGTATCAGTTCAATCGGGTTTACTTCGCAATGATATAGTGGTGATCTAACCACCGTCATCCCACGAGTTTTTGCAATTTCATCAATTTCTCTTTATGAAGGGAACACAAATGGAACCGGGATGGAACTTAATATTCTTTGAATTTAGCCAATTCTGTAAATCTTTTTTTAACCACTTGGTTATGGGCATTTTTTCTATAAGTCTCGAGTGATAACTTGCATTATCCATTACTATTGTACAGTTCTGAGGAAGAAGATCTATAATTTGTTCGAACCACTCTTTAAAGACATTAGCATTCATGTCCTCATGGTAGTCACCGGTACGAGTAGATTCAAAAGTCAATAAACCACCTTTAACAAAACCGTTTGAACTACCGATGTGTACTATTATTAGTCTGCGCCCCTTTCCTGATGGTGGATTTAAACCAGTAGATAAATTATTTAAAAAAGCCTGTCTTCGACTTGTAACAGTTTCATCTTGCCAAAATTTATTTGGTTTATGTCCCTCGTTGATCCATGTTTCATCTAAATAAAATATATTTCTTCTTTGGTTTCTCATTTCTTTTATAGTCTTTAGATAATTTCTTCTCCATACTACAATATCGCTTCTTTCTATTAAAATAGACTTTTTGGAATGCTTTTTCCATAGAAAACCTATTTCTTTTAAAAGTTTCCATAGTGTGCTTCGACTCATTTCAGGGTAATCCTTATCATCTCGAACCGTGGCAAGAACTTTGTCTACTGTCGGAAATTCTTTTCTAAAGAAGAACGCATGCACTTTCCTTCGAAGTCTTTCTTTCAAAATATTTTCTATTTGAAATTTTGGTTTTCCTGGAGCTTTACGTGCTGTTTGAAACTCGCCACATTTCTCTTCTTTAACAACTCTGTAAATCGTAGATTTCCCAACACCAAGCGTACTACTAACTAATTCCACTGTGTCATCAACACTTTTACATAAATGTTTGTCTATAAATGATTTAAAACAATTATATATTAATGTTTTTTCATTAACTGTTAAAGGAACGATTTTTTGTGGTTTACGCAACCCTTCCAAATTTTCCATGATCACACTAGAATTCACACTGCACCTTGTAAGTTGCAACTAAACGACATTAAGTAAACTGTCAAGAATACACAACTTGGACCTCCTTACTAAATGGAAAACCTATAATCGCATTTTCGGTGAAATTTGTTGGGAAGGTATTTATCTACTTATAATTCGATTACTGTAAGAAATTCTTGGAATTAAAATAAAACAAAATTGGCAAATAGGTACTTATTGAAAATAATCTTAAGATACGGCTGTGTAATCTTTAATACACAGGGATTTTGGCCTGTCCAAACCTTTTTCTATTGTTCTGTACAGCTTATGTTTATAAAGGACCAATAAAAGACCCAAAACTTGTAATAGCTCAGGTACATTTATTACAATTTTAGGAAATATTTAGATTATTCTGTAAAAATATTTAAAATGACCGTACTAAGTTTTGCATTAGAAATGCTATTTTATTACTCTCTCATATATAAAAATAGACTATAGTATTGATTTGAGGGGAGTTCAAAATCGAAATCAATAGATTCATTCACACTTATGCTTAAGTGCATTTGGATCCTTTTAATAATTTTGTTGTTTTCAATCATTAAGAATACCTATAAGTAAGATAAGTTATTTTGTAAGACGTTACAATAATTTTAGAGATTTTTTATTTCAGCCATATCTTTTCATGGTTAATTTTGACTTGATACAAATATTTTATATGTAATGTGGTGAAATAAATATATATTTTTCACTTTTAATAAATTAAACACGCTTACTAGTTTTCATTGTTATTTATGTTCTTTTTTTCCTAAAAATTTTTATATGATGTGATACTAAATATAAACACGCTTAAAGTTTTGCTTTTTATTTTCCTGCTCACTATAAATTGGTTGATATATATTAGTTAAAGAAATGACTTAAAAAAAACCACACATATAATATAAACAAAATAGTTTTATTTTGTCCAATATTCTAAGTACGGATTTATTTACTCCTGTCTGCGCAATCTCGCTAATCCCAAAAATAAATAGATAGCGGCTCACTATAATCAATTTTTATGGTTTATTACATAGCCTCCTAACACTTTAGATCTGTGGTCTATTGACTATTGTCAAATACTATAAAAGAGGTTAAATTACATGATATTATAAAAAGAAGGTATGATATTACGTAGATTGATCCTACACGTCACGGTGACATATTGTGGTGGAAGGCGTAGGTTTTACGAACGAAAATAAATTTTAATCTGCTCATGGTCAATCAGATAATCATATTCCACACCTCAATACATCATGCGAAATTTTTTTGTATCATGACTAAATTGTGTCTTGTTAAGAATATAATTATTTTGTTATACTTTCGAGACATCCATCCCAAGATCTTACGCTTACTAATATTCTAGATTCAGGCTATTTTTAAAATATACAATTAATTTTCAGCAATGGCATATCCTGGACTGTATCCAGATTATGTACACGCATTAGCGGCTGCCACACAAGCTGCTTCTCTAGCGGGAGGTGGTCATCATACCCAGCATCAGCCACCGAAAAGAAAAAGGCGTCATCGTACTATCTTCAGTGAAGAGCAGCTCGAGCAACTAGAAGCAACTTTCGAGCAGACTCATTATCCAGATGTCGTGCTAAGGGAGCAACTTGCTCTTAAGGTGGATTTGAAAGAGGAAAGAGTTGAGGTAAGTGCCTATATATTTTTTTCTAACATGCAGGGAGGGGCGCATATATGGGGGTAAAGGGGATACTTATTCTACCAAGAATTTTTAAATCTAACTTTTTATAGCTAAAAAGTATTATTATTAAGTGAATTTATAGGGTTTGTTTAAAGTTTGTTTTGCGGCAATTTTAAATATAAAGTGAAACATAAATTAAATATCAAGTCCCGTATTTAGTATATAGTAGAAGCAACCGAGCGATGTATTTCTGCCGTTTAGAAAGAAGTCTTGCTCTGCATGAGCATCCGGCCAAAAAAGTTACTCTAATAAATTAACTACAAAGTTACTATAAGTATATTTGTATAAGAATCAGTGGCGTAACAAGACACTGTCGGGCCCTCGTTCCAAATCTTGAATCCGAGCCCCTATATACAGGGTTGGGCATAATTGGCGGAACACCCGATTTGTGGCTCAATTATGGATTGTATTGAAAATTAACCCAAATAAAGTTTTTTGTATATTTTATGTACTATTTAATGACGCTTGGGGATTTTCATTATCTGTCATATTTATCAAGATATGACGTCATCGGATGAAATTTTAAATGAATCACCCTATATTTTTATTTTTTTTCAGATAGATCTTTTCTTTCTGAATCCATCAATATGGGGTTCGGGTGGTCTCTGATTTTCCTTATCATCAGAAAATAATAAAACAAAATGGTAAACGTTCTTTTAAATAATTAATGAATAACTATTCACAAAGTTGTCTGTGCCATCATAATGTACCAATATCAATTGTTTTGCCATGGTTTCACTTTTTGACATTAAAATGTAATATTGACATCTCGATATTAATCACTGAGTTTTATTAATACGATTATTGTACATCTCTGACAGAAATACCTACCAATGTTTTTGTGTTACTGTTTACTTGGTTTTTAAAATATTATAAAAACTATTGTCACCTTTTATTAATCTGTAGATTTTAATTCATTCTGGTTTATGGAGACAATCAAACAAGTTGAGTTTAATTGCAAGTCAATTCATTTCACCCAAACTAGCCCAATACGCGAAAATAAATAACTCTTAGCATTTGATACTATTGAGAATTTTTATTAATTTAAACCATGGTTGAACTGAGTGAACGTGAAAGAATTACACTATTGATGATTATTGGGTTTGGAGACAGAAAGAGATCTCTGCAAGAAGCTTGTAATTTGTTCAATGAAACATTTCCTGACAGGATTTCCCCGATTTCTAAATCTACAGTATCCAGAAATTTGAGCAAGTTTAATGAAACAGGAAGTGTGAAAAATAATCCCAGATCTGGACGGAAGAAGACAGCCACTGATGAAGAAAATGCACTTAATGTGGTTCTAAGTGTACAGGAAGAACCAAAAACTTCAGTTCCAAAGCTTGCGTTAGACAATAATATGAGCGAGAGATCTGTAAGGAGGATTCTGAAAGTCAATAAATTTCATCCCTATAAAGTGCAATTACACCAGGAATTGAATGAAGATGACCCAGATAGGCGAATGCAATTCTGCCAGGTAATGATGGATGCCATTAATGGAAATAATATGTTGATGAACAGCATTGTTTTTTCCGACGAATCAACATTTTGTCTCAATGGATTTGTAAATAAACATAATTGCCGGTATTGGTCTGATCATAATCCTCACTGGATGGAAGAAGGTCACACCCAATATCCACAAAAGTTAAATGTTTGGGCTGGTATAGTTAGAGGAAGAATTATTGGACCATTCTTCATGAGAGGAACTCTGAACGGTGATCGTTATTTGCAACTACTTCAAGAGCAGATAGTTCCAGAGTTAGTTCGTTTATATCCAAATCACAGAAATCACTTACAACTTTCTGATGAAATTTGGTTCCAGCAAGATGGTGCTCCACCTCATTTCGATGCTAGAGTGAGGCAGTACCTGAACACAATATTTCCACAGAGATGGGTGGGTCGAAGAGGACATATTGAGTGGCCGGCACGGTCACCGGATTTAACCCCACTGGATTTTTTTCTTTGGGGCCATTTGAAATCAGTAGTTTATAAGGACCTGCCACATTCGCTGGAAGAATTGGAATACAAAATAAGAATTGCTGTTCAAGAAATAACACCTGAAGTTTATCAAAATGCCTCAAGATCATTTGTTGATAGACTAGGATATTGTCAGGCAGTTGGAGGCTTTCACTTCGAACACTTACTTTGAGAGATTTGTAATACTTCGATTGATAATAATTATTATTTTTTATTAAATAAATGTTTACTTTCTATTTTGTTATGAACTCGGAGACCCTCAAACCTTACATTAATGGATTCAGAAAGAAAAGATCTATATGAAAAAAAATATAAATATAGGGTGATTCATTTAAAATTTCATCCGAAGACGTCATATCTTGATAAATATGACAGATAATGAAAATCCCCAAGCATCATTAAATAGTACATAAAATATACAAAAAACTTTATTTGGGTTCATTTTCAATACAATCCATAATTGAGCCACAAATCGGGTGTTCAGCCAATTATGCCCAACCCTGTATATATATATATATATATATATATATATATATATATATATATATATATATATATATATATATATATATATATTATGCATTTTGACATTTTCTAGCGATTTTGTTAATACAACCAACAAAAATATCTAGATGTGATTTGGATTTTACCATTTAAGTAAAATCCACAAGGAATTAAAGAACAAATGAAATAGGTTGTATAGAAAAAGAAACATTATATTTTTATTTATTATTATTCTAAAAAAAAACAAATGCACATTCTAAACTATAATATTTGGTAAGTAAAAGTGGCTATTATAATCTATAAAATAAAACAACAAAAATTAAATAATAACTTTTTTCTACACCCGTATTATAATAATGCACTTATATGCCCATAATCCGTTTCATAATGATACCCATTATGATACAGATTTTTCATTATGATACAGATTTTTAATCAATAGAAACCTACAATTTTTCAATCAAGCATGATGTTTGACGTTTGTCCTAAATTCCTATGTAATTGTTTTAGTTGTCAAAACGTATTAAATTTTCGTAGATAGCTAAACTTCGATAATTATAATATTAAAATGTCTGATATCAGCGATATAGAACACTCCTCCACACATATAGGAGAAAGGAGAAAATGCAGTACAAAATATTTTGCCCCAAAAATCTGTGGTAATACCAGTACCCAAGGTAATACCATTAATTACAATTTTGTAGAATTTTTTATAGAAATACGAGTAATTACTGTTATTGTGTTCAATACCAATATAAATAGAATATTTATAGGTCTTGATTATTTATCGGGTGTAGAAAAAATAGCGTATGCAACTCTCATGTAATGGTTATTAAAACACTCGCATAAACCATACGAAACTCGCCTTTGGCTTGTTTCGTATCCCGGTTAATGCTCGTGTATTAATAACCATCATTACATGATCGTTGCATAATATACTATTTCCTGGCCTTTGCATTTGCAAATATTTTAATAAGTTCTGTAACATCCAACTTTTGCGCTATGTCATTTTCAATAGAAATTATTGCCAGTGATGATAGCCTGTCTTGGAGCATCGTGTTCCTTAAATAATTTTTAATTAACTTTAACTTTGAAAATGATCTCTCCGCGGTAGCAACAGTAACAGGAATCATTAAAAAAAGGAAGCAAGCAGTGACAAATTCAGAAAAATTATCTACATTAAGAACAAGAATTTTGAATAACTATAAAATTTGCCAAATCTTTTATTGTGTGTAACTTTCCTAAATCTGTTTTAAAACTTTGTCTAAACATCTACAACAGTCACATATTACTCTTAGACTAGTGGATCTACTATAGACTTGATCTATGGCAATATCTAATGTTTTGTAAAATGTATTTATCCTAAATCGATCTTCGGAAATTTCAATAGCATAATATTTAGATATTTCGTCAGAACGTTTTTTTGGTCGAGAAATACATTTTTCTTCAAATTCCGTTGTGGTTCCCCATTTGAGAGCTAAATTTATAGCTTCATTTTTAATGTCCTTAAAACTGTCTCGAAAGCCTTTTAAATTTTCAAATAGAGCAGAAAACATTTTGCTAGCGTTTTGGATATCTTCATGTTTGCTCTGTAGTATCTTAGATATAGCATCTGTTGCATTTAGAACTTTGGTCTCTAGTACAATCAAGAAAACGATTTCAAATTTTTCTAATTTGGATTTAATTATCTTATCCTCTTTAATTTCGTCTTTATTTAAAGATGTTAATTTAATTTTAGATAAAGCTTTAAGCATACAAGTATCTAAAATGCAAAGTATGTAAAGCGTCATGCCTGGAAGACCACCAGTGGGCGTTAATCTTTTAAGAGTAATATTACTCGATCCAGAACCCTCAAAAAATGATAACAGTAAAGCCTACCTTTTAATACTACGGCCAAAATATACATAGACTGTTTCAACAAAATCATAAACGCCTCTAACTTCAGAAACATTTTTGACAGAGTCATTTAAAACTAGGTTTAAATTATGCACAGCCCAATGGACATACGGCGCATTTGGAGCATTTTCTAGAATTCTGTACCCCATTATAAATACCACTCGTGTTGGCAGCGCCATTATAGCCCTGGCCTCTAATATTTTCCAAAGAAAGTCAATTGGTTTTTATGCAATTAAGTATTTCTTTAATTAGAGCTTCCGCAGTTTGATTGGATACATGCACAACCCCAAGAAATTACTCCTTAATTAAAATTTTACTAGGAAGAGAATTTTATTATATGATGGAAACATATCGAATTACTAAACTGAGCTGGTCAACTTTTGAAATGTCTTGGGTTGTGTCAATAATAACAGAAAAAAAAAAGATTATAACTTAATGTCATCAATAATTTTAGTTTTAATTGCAATTTCTTAAAAGACAAATTACTTCATTTCAGGGGCGGTTTCTCCATTGGTTCATTTGTGCAGTGAACACCCAGTTAAATTTCATAAAAACACTTATTTTAAAATTACATAAATAACAAAAATATAAATTTAATTTTAATATTTTTATTTTCATAAGTGTTAAACTATATTTTTTGGTACATTATTGCCCTCTGGCTGATCGCGTCTCTGTGACATAGAATACCTAAGTATACTGTGTCTGTGGCGCATTATGATGAGTGAGCCTAACACGAGTGAGACGATTTGATGAATGCATAAAGTTAAAAAGAGAAAACAACACGCCAACATATCCTTCAAACGTCAAAAGAACTCATTAATTGGCGCGCCACTCACAAACAAGGTTGCCAAACCAGTGTTGCCAGTCTAGTACAATTTACAATTGTACTAGATGTAGTACATTTTGCTTGAGGCAGTGTTTACGTGTTAAATATATAATATATATATATATATATATATAAATATATTGTGTTCCTTGTTTGGGTTCGTTATCTATGAAAACCCCCTTTTTCCTCTTCAATAAATTAGATGTCACTGCAAAAACATATTCTGGCAACACTGTACTGTAAGGGGTTTTCTCGCCTCAGAGAAAACGATTACTTACAAATGACGCCTGTTGACGGAACGGCTCTCGGGCGCCAGATTTGATGTGTGGTTTACTCCACAATCTTTCGAAACGGCGTCGAAAGTACTCGGGCAGCACAGATGGAGATGAAAAATTCCAGGGGTCGTTGGTCACTCAGACACAGGTAATAAGTAACCACAAGTAACGGGCTTTAATCGTCACTTGTAGTGATAAAGAATTTCTCACTGCTGAAATAAAGGGGAAGTAAATTAGGGATCAGTAACCTCAGTAACAGTCAAGGTAACGTTGACACATATATTGAATTTTAACTATTTACAATAAAAAAAATAAATAAATATTTCAACGCCCACCCCCGCTCGTAATTTTAAAACCCTGAACAAAATAAAAACAAACAGATCGGCCAGTAATGATTATTCTCAATCAGACGGTAGAATTAAAATTAGAAGAAAGATGCTCGGTGGCAATAGTATCTAATTAATAAATTTGTCGGATCGGTGGTTGAGCCAAAACGAAACCAAAAACAAATAATAGCGGTCGTAGCAAAAGTTAATTAGTTAACTCTTAAATCGGCATAAAGATTACAGTTAAATATTTTGTTTCGTAAAAATAAATTAAAATCACGGTCGTAGTAAAAGTTATCTGGTTAACTCTCTAGTCGGTATTGAAACTGAAACAAACCTCCTTGTTTTAGTGAATGGGGAATAGATAAATGATAAGAAAACGGGATAGTATCAATCCTATGAGGAGTGCACTCGCCACAACCAGCACGCTCAACATAAAAATGATACTATCATTTTAATCACGGCACGGAGGTAACTAAAAGAAAATAATCAAAATCCGGGTTAGTATTTAATCCTATGATGAGTGTACTCGCCACAACCAGCCCACTCAAACACAAAACCAAATATCAAACCGGGTCAGTATTTATCCTACGATGAGTGTACTCGCCACAACCAGCACTCTCAAACATAAGAAAAACACTAATATGTTAATCACGGATAGGGGTTAATCTAAATAAAATCTAAAACCGGGATAGTATCTAATCCCATGTGAGCTTTCTCGCCACAACCAGTCCACTCGACATGAAAAATGATACTATTTCAACTTTCCAACTTTCGAACTAATTCTATTCCCAAGTAAAGAAACATAAATAAAAAAAGTTAAACCAGATTGTGAATAAATAGAAACAAAATTTACGGTCGTAGTAAAAGTTAAGTAATTAACTATGTACGGAATTTAATTTAAATTTAAATTTATTATTACTTAAAAAAAATTAGGAACAAAATCCACGGTCGCAATGAAAATTAATTAATCAACTGTATACGGAATTTAATTTGAAATTAGGTTTACTATTACTGTAAAATAGAAACACAATTCACGGTCGTAATAAAATTAATTAATTATTAAAATAGAAACAAAGTTTCTATTTCCTAATAACCAAAAACTAATTTTCAATGTTTCTAAATAAAATCAAAACTAAATAATTTATCTGTAAATCAAAATATTTTTAACGAAAATCTGAACTCAATTATTATTTCTCTTAAATAAAATCGAAAACGGAATAATTATTTCAAATGAAACCGGTATTCGAACGTTTTAACTCAAGAACCGTCGACAAAAAAAAATATGTAAACAAATTCGATGTACCTAACTACGGTATCGGCGATAATTTTCAGCGGTGTATATCGGAGCAAAAGCAGCAGATGTTAGTCGAATCGGTAACGTGAATTGAATGATTTTTAATAATCCGAATTCTGAATTCCAGTTTCTATGCCCAAGCAGGCTAGCTCACCACTCGATGTGCGCGAAGCGCGCGCGCTTTCGTTACTCAGGTAAAATACGCGAATTTAAATGAAACAAAATTTTATATACAGGGTCTACCCATGAAGTTAAAATAAAATAAAAAAATAAAAATTGAAATTTATATCCGGAATAGGCCGAAATATATTAATGAAAATTGACTTCATTACAGTACCAAATCATTCCGTCTACCTGGGGATCGGTTATATCGTGCGAATTTAGAGATGAGTAGTAATCCGTAAATGTACCTACTTAACACTTACAGATTTGCTAATATCCATCTCTAAATTCTAGTGTGACACCGGAACCACTTGGAACTTTAGAGGCGTTGTAACCGAACTTTGATTTTAGTTCAAGGACGACTTACCCAACTCCGACTCAGCTAAGTTCTGTTTATAAATATGGACCTGAATATATTTGTATCCTTGTTTATCGATATATAAAAGAAGAAAGTGAGAATACACTCAGTGAGACGCGAGATCCCTTTACAAATTATACTTTTTATGGATTTTTGTGTTCCGTGAACCGAATTTTCGTTGTTTTGAGGTTGGCTGTACTGGTCTTAGGTTCTGTGTGAATTTACTAGTGTTTATGTACGTATCGTATTTGGTGAAATTTATAAAAACAAATAGACATAATTTCGAGAATCGAGTGCTTATAAAAAAGAATGGCCCACCTCGATCGGAGATAAACATTGTTCAAGAATGTGCCATAAGAAATAGAAAGTTTAAATATACTTTTAAGATTGAACAATATAAAAAAACTTCGTGGTTGTGCGGGTGTGATAAACAACATGCTTTGTTTCGTTTTCCTTGTTTAGTTTTTGCAAACAATGAAAATACTAAATCAGAAAGGACAAAAACGGGTGTTAGGGAATTATCTCATTTATCAGCAAAAATTAAAAAACACTTTTATTATTATTATTAAACTACTGAACTACCCAATGAATCGAGCAAAAACCTGACATTGATTAAATTAGGTAAGCATGTTTTTGCATTATTTCTATAATTTAAACTTGATGTTTCTTTCTTGCACTGTATTAATCGAGGAATTAATATTTTAAAATATAACGAGCCACCACTACCTTTAATTAAAAAATCTAATTAAATATGGGGGATTTAAGGGGGGTTGAAATTAAAATTAAAAACAAAAAATCAAAAATGAAAAGCGATATCAACATTTTTTGTAAAAATCAAGCCCTATAAGGAGATGAGGCCTATTGATTGTGAAAACAATCTGGTAGAAAATGGGTAGTTAAGGGAGTCTGTTAAACTGCGAAAAGAATCATTTGGAATGCCAGGCATTATATATCTATTCTAGTTTGTATTTGTGTAATAGTATGTATTGTGATAGGACTGATCTCATAAAATAAACATTTAAAACATTTTAGTTCTTATTTTATATAAAAGTTATTATTTTAAAAGGTATTTAAAAAATAAATTTACAATAAAAACTGAAAAATGGTAGGTAAAGTTTCATATAATATTTTTTACACAAAAATCAATGTCAAGCTTTCTACATAACCTTATATATATTTAAAAATAATCTCAAATTATGAAGAAAAGTCAGTTAACTAATAATGTTTATAGGTGGTTTTCAATGTATTAAAAACAAAACAAATATCACACTAACTAAAATATTCATTTATTAATAGTTATAGTGCTTGAAAATAGTATGATGTTGATAATAACTACATTTAATACAAACTCAAATAATAATAAAAACAGCGATATTGGCTCTTGTACAAAGTTTTGGGCCGAACTTCCAAAAATGATCAAATTATTGGAAAAGTGAACACCCATTTCAAATTACCACCAGCCGCCACTGCTTCATTTTGTACAGCGGGACCTAAATAGGTAATTCAGTTTTTAGTCTTAGTTTCCAATAAGTCTTTAAAACAAGATCATATTTGTCCAACAGCTTAATAACTGACAAAAATATCCCCGGGTTGCTTGAATCCAAATGTTCAGTA